AACGGTAACGTGGACATTGAAAAAGAGGGCAGAGGTTGTGTGCTCAAGGTGAAGAAGTATTTACTAAAGCCATGCATAAGGAAATTTGGTGCAAGCGAGTCTTTGACTCTGAAAGAACCAGTGATCTGACCACCAGGCTTATGCGACGTCTAGCTACAGACTTAAAATAAAGCGCTTATTGGGAGGCAACCTAATTTTTCTAAACTCATTCCTTATTTTGCTTTTTGTTTGAGTTTTTTTTATTAGTTAAATTTCTAGATACATTTACATACCTAAGTTCATTTAAAAAAAAAATTAAAAAAATTAAAAATTAAAATTAAATAAAAAAAAAAAAAATTCCAAAAAAATGCTTTATTTATTTACCTAGTTAGTTTCATTTTTTTTTAACGCATATTGATTAATTGCAGGTTGCAGCGCATGGAAAATAAAGAGCATCCTATACTGGAATCATGCACCCAGCAACAAATCTACATTAACATCACCACATCTACACTATGCTGGAAATTTAAAGCAGTCTGCACGAAGTTATTCACAGAGGCAAGTTTGGGGGTAGTTGTTGCAGATCCAGCGCATAAACATAATTTTGAGCAGTTACTTTTCTGCAGCTCAGTTTTGCGATGCATGGATGAGAGAAGCACAGTTAAATCACATATCCATACACCACAGAACTGAGTACAGCTATTATTACCAGATCTACAACAATTAAACTTGCAGGGATTCGAATTTTACCTCCCAAATGCACAGATCTGGGTCCTGAGGGCCTTTCCTGTTTTGTCCAGCGAGCTTATGTGTTTACCTCCCTTTTCCCTCGGCGCTATCATGGATCCACATATCCCTGCACACAGCGTATGTATGTTTTCAGTTCTTACAAAGTCATTTTGGGAGGGTATACACGGTAAATATGGCATCATAAATGAAATGAAGTTGAATCCGTAAATGTTAAGCTGAGCGAAAGCAGATGAACGAGATCTTTACCTTCCTCATTTGCCATGGCCGATGCCTTTGCTGTCTATTTTTGACTTCTGGGACCACTGGATCGGCAGCTAAAGGGTTGTTTTCTCTCGGCTCTACCCTGGATTTGAATTGAACCAAGTGGGAGATGATTACCGTTGCATGTGCGAAATGGTCTCGATCTGCATGAATGGAACTCGAATCTGGGATGGTTTGAACTTAGGTGACACACGGTTTGGTTGAGAAGAGCTGGCGACTCAGGGTGTTTTTCTTGTGTTGTTTGTCTCGGATTTGCAACAATTGGGGGTCTTCACACAGATGAAACCACATGCATGTGTTAGTTTACCACATAAATCTGAAAAAGAATAAAAAATAAATAAATACAGACACACATGGAGGAGCTATTTACTTTCAGGCATCTCAGTTTTCTTGCTTACTCCACCATGGATGGGTTAGAGAGACACGGAAGTGTGTATGCTCCTTGGTTTTTGGTTGCAGAACGAGTGAAGAAACTGCTGCATATAGGAGGTTTGTACAAATGGGCGCTGGACTTGAGAGGAAATGGAGAAAAGAAAGCCTTTCCAGATTTTTTTAGAGAGAGAGAGGGCTAAGAGGCATAGGTTTGAAATGAGAGTAGTGAGAGATGTCTCTCATTTTTCTAGAGAGAACAAAGGGGCTTCGGGGTTTACAACAAATAATATTATTATCCTTCTGCACAGGGGATGGGAATGGACAGAAGAGAGCCATTTGGCTCTGGGCTCGAGGCTAGTGAAGGGGAATACAAAGCGTGTTCAAGAATAGCTTCAAATGACAGATGCAGCTGCTACACCAGCTTATATTGTAGATGTTGCTAGGTTTTGACACAAGTGTGGACTTGTACGTGTTGATGTAGAAAGCTTAAAATTGCGACATATTGTTTATGAAAAAGTTTCTAGTTTTGCAAAGTGCACCTGTCGAAATTTTGAATTCAAAGGAATTCCGTGCATACATATTTATATTTTTTCTCAGAAGTATTCATATTGTAGATTTTCCTAGCCAATACATCATTAAAATGTGGACAAAAAATGTGAAGGCTAAAGATTTGGGATCAAGATGGATTGGAAATAAAAGATATGCAAGATAAGCCATTCATCATTAGAATATGGACAAAAAATGTGAAGGCTAAAAGAATTTGGAATCAAGATGGATTGGAAATAAAAGATGCGCAAGATAAGCCATTAATGATGAGGCATATTTAGTTATCTAAACCTTCACAATACTTAATCAGTTTATCATATTTGTTCATCAGTTATCTTGCTGTAGGGCTGGCAAACGGATTGTGTCTATCGTGTTCGTGTCGTTTCCGTGTAACACCTGTTATCTTAACGGGTCGTATCGTGTCACACCCGTTATCTTAACGGGTCCTTAACAGGTCGTGTCACTTTACCCAACGGGTAAAGTGACCCGACCCGTTATGACCCGTTATGACCTGTTAAGAAAAAAATATTTTTTTTTTAAATTTGCACATACCACACATTGCCACATAAATATTACTTCAAAACATTAAAACATTTCTCGTTCAAGTACTATATCTACACTCGATAATAAAAGCCTAATAAAAAAAATAATACATACACTACTAATCTATTACAAATATTAAATGTGCAAGGATAAAGAGTTTTTGTTTTTAAGATTGTAAGTCTTTCTCAAAAGTTTACACCTCCATTTACAAAATCTTCAATTTACATCGATCATCATGAAATTGTATTGGAACTTTGGCTTGATCTATTGCCTTCAAGAGTTATGTTGAAGATGTTTTTAGTAAGCTTTTCCACGTCAGACCTCTCTTTCGCATAAACTAAGTATAGAAAAAGCAAACATTAAAAATCATTCAATTATGAAAAGTTAAACAAAATAATTATGAAAAGAAATAAAATAATAATACTATACCATATAAAAATATATTACCTCCTTTTCCAAATAGCCAATCTCGTGTGCACAACAAAGCTATTTTTAAATTTAATCTCAGCCGATCCAATGGTCATCAATTTTTAATCTCAGCCGATCCAATGGTCATCAATTTTTAAATTTAATTTAATATATATAATTATTATATTTTTTAATTTTTAGGGATATAAAATTATTAAATTAATGTATATAATTATTAATATTATAGTTGATTCATACTTTTATTAAGTATATAAATTATAACATAAGATTTTGTGATATCCACATCCACTAGTGTAAATATTTTAAATTGAAGATCAAATTCATTCTTTGTATTCATATAGGGTCAAGGAGTGTAGCTGTAAAAATTCATCAAAATCAGAGTTAAAATAACCGTTAAATCTTGATTTTTCGTTTATAACCGTCGAAAAGCTTTGTCCCGTTACTTGATCTCTGAATGTTTTTTTTTTTGTGATTTTTTGCTGATGTGATCTCCAAGCATATACAAACAATTTTGACGGTTTGGATCGTTGAAATTAGTTTTGGAGAATTCGTATCCCATCAAAACGATAGATTAACTAACACTTAGAGTTTATTTATACTTTCATTAAGTATAACATAAGATTTGTGGTATCCACTTGTGTAAATATTTTAAATTGAAGATCGAATTCATTCATTGTATTCATATAGGATCAAGGAGTGTAGTTATAAAAAATCATCAAAATCGGAGTTAAAATAACCGTTAAATCGTGATTTTTCGTTTATAACCGTTGAAAAGCTTTGTCCCGTTACTTGATCTCTGAATGTTTTTTTTTTGTGATTTTTTGCTGATGTGATCTCCAAGCATATACAAACAATTTTGACGGTTTGGATCGTTGAAATTAGTTTTGGAGAATTCGTATCCCATCAAAACGATAGATTGACTAACACTTAGAGTTTATTTATACTTTCATTAAGTATAACATAAAATTTTGTGGTATCCACTTGTGTAAATATTTTAAATTGAAGATCGAATTCATTCATTGTATTCATATAGGGTCAAGGAGTGTAGTTATAAAAAATCATCAAAATCGAGTTAAAATAACCGTTAAATCATGATTTTTCGTTTATAACCGTTGAAAAGCTTTGTCCCGTTACTTGATCTCTGAATGTTTTTTTTTTTGTGATTTTTTGCTGATGTGATCTCCAAGCATATACAAACAATTTTGACGGTTTGGATCGTTGAAATTAGTTTTGGAGAATTCGTATCCCATCAAAACGATAGATTGACTAACACTTAGAGTTTATTTATACTTTCATTAAGTATAACATAAAATTTTGTGGTATCCACTTGTGTAAATATTTTAAATTGAAGATCGAATTCATTCATTGTATTCATATAGGGTCAAGGAGTGTAGTTATAAAAAATCATCAAAATCGGAGTTAAAATAACCGTTAAATCGTGAATTTTCGTTTATAACCGTTGAAAAGTTTTGTCCCGTTACTTGATCTTTGAATGTTTGTTCTTTGTGATTTTTTGCTGATGTGATCTCAAAGCATATACAAACAAGTTTGACGGTTTGGATCGTTGAAATTAGTTTAAGAGAATTCGTATCCCATAAAAACAATAGATTAACTAACACTTCTTAGAGTTTATTTATACTTTTATCAAGTATAACATAAGATTTTGTGGTATCCACTTGTGTAAATATTTTAAATTGAAGATCGAATTCATTCATTGTATTCATATAGAGTCAAGGAGTGTAGCTATAAAAAGTCATCAAAATCGAAGTTATCGTGTCGACCCAAACACCTGTTAATTTCGTGTCGTGTCGTGTCAGGTTATCGTGTCGTATCAGAAATTGCCAGGCCTATCTTGCTGTCATAAATAATTTTGAATTTTATATTTAAAATTGAACACAAACAGTATCTGAAGAAAGCTGGTCGCACGACGTACGATGAACGGCTAAGATAAATTAATTTCTATAATTCAAAGTGGATCCTCATTCGAATTTTAGATCAAATCTTCTACACCCAAAATAAATATGATATCTCTATAAACCTAATTATTGTTTGACATGTAATTATAAATTTAACTTTTTGTAACTTTATTGTCATAAACTTATAATTGAGGCTACGGACAGGCCAAACCTATTTGGTGTGGAGAAGATTTAAAATCGGTAAATTGTAGATGAACTTAATCGAGGGAGACTGAGACAGAGTAGAAACAGCCATGGCATCGGGAGCGTCAACACCGCCGTATCCAAGCGCTGCTAGAATCTCCGATTCTCAATGTTATCCTCAGTACACTGCCTCTTTAAAGTGTATGCCACTTCCAACGCTTTCATTGTTTTCTTCCGTTTTACTTCGAAGCATGAAATTTCCTTTCAAATTTAACCTTTTTGTTAACTTTTCTTAATTACCCCCGATCAATATCAGACAAATTTGTTTTTAAGCTCCAACCTCCAAAGAAAAATTAATTGGGATTGGATTTGGGGGTGTTATTTAAAGCTTAATTTTGAGTTTTGAGGCTCAAATTTCTGTATGGTATCGAATTTGCGAGTTAGGGTTTGTGAAGTTTGCAGAGTTTGTTTCAAAAGTTTTTGTCTTTTCTTTTTTGGGGTAGCAGTAATCTGGTGGAAAGTGAACGGTTATTTTTGGTGAGAGAGGCTTGGCTCGTTAAGATGGAGGAAGATTTCCTCCTCAGGATATGCTGTGGTTGATTCACGGAACATCGATCGGAACTGCGCATATAATTTATCATCTCTGCATATTTTAGTTGATTTTTTGTAGAGATGATCTTTACAAAGTTTTTTATAACATGAATGGTTCTGATCGTATGCATGAAATTCCGTAAATCAGTCACGTAGTGAATTGGGGAGGAACTCCTCCTCGTTCATTGAATAGCCATGTTAATTTCAGTTTTGGTAAGGCAGTTAAATTTCTGTTAGTGGAAAATTGGATAAAGGTGTTAGAATTATGAATATTTTATCAATTTGAGAGCACAGAAATACCCATGATTAGTTTAGAAGAATTATCCACAATATATCTATCTCTAGAAAGAAACCATTAATTATGTTCTATAAAGCTTAACCCAGTTTTCATAGGTTTTTTTTAAGAACTGCATTGCTTGACAAGTCTAGCAGGTGAATCATTAGGTTTGGACAATCGCCAAAGTGGAAAAAATTCTGAAATTTGGTGGCCTGATTGGGTTGTTAAGGGGAACCATAAAGTTTTGCCACTGTATTATATGAACACTCCATCGAACTTGATTGATGTTTAGATCAGAGAATTTAGGAATGAAGACTAGGCTAGATGATAAGAGAAGACATGATACAATTAAGAATTGCAGTTTTCCGGTAAGTTCTTATAACTGCATCCCTTCCACTCTGATATTCTGGCCTCTGTGTAAGGTTATTCGTAATGTTGCTATCGAAGAGCTATTGTTAAATTTGGCTCATCACACCAACTGGAATGATGCCTCATTCTCAACCACATGTTGCGTGTACCAGTACCAGTCTTTTAGCCACGCATTTCCAAGACCAACTTGATTACAAATTTTCCATAGTATTTGTCATCCGCACGGCATTTAACTACTTTTGGATTAAGATAGGTTTCTTCCTTAATCGTCCCCAACTGCCCAACATACACATGCCAATTACATTTTATCATCGTTTTCCATCCTCTCTTCTATGAGACTGACGTATTCGACTTCCCTATAGTGGATTTTTTTTTTCGTGGTTAGTTTTTGTTTTTCTTGTATTTTACTTGAGTGTGGTCTTAAATTATGAGTATGCAACGTCTATCTCCTTTATCCTGTGGTAATGCTGAAGGGTATACTTTGATATAAGAGATCTATACGTCTGAGCTTTTAGCGGTGGCTGCACACAGATGTGCACTTAGGGACACAACACGGGTTGGAAAGATACTAGTGAGGGTTGGAACTTGGAAATAGTTTGATAGTCATATTCTTTCATGAGTAATGTTTCTTAGTTTACAAACTCAAAATGGAGATCAATTGTATTTTTGGCTAAGTTTTGATTCCTTTTGTAAACTTTGCAGGTCTAGAAGAATATAACTCGGACAAGAGCAAATGTCAAAAGCATTTTGATATTTACAAAGAATGCAAGAAACAGGAGGTATTATTGCTTTTAGATACTTGATTGCTCTGTAGTCTTTATTCATTTATTGCAAATCCTGATGAAAGATTGGATATCCATCATTACCTATGAGGTCCTTCCGGTAAAGAAATAAATATAATTGGATAATTATATGTTTTAAAGAATCCATGCAACTTAATCTTCATCTGTTTACACAGGTGAAATTAGGTTATTGACAAAAAAAAAAAAAAAAAAAAAAAAAAAAAAATCTTAAAAATGAAGTTCCAGGCATAGTCGATAAAAAATTTAAGCTGTCTAATCTTGTTTCTTGTAGATACTTGAACATGATGATCATGTGTTGCATGAATCGATTGTAAAAAATTTCGTTGGCATGTCATTTTCCATTGTTTACCCACATACACACCAAAGTCTGAAGATAGAAGGCATCATCTGTCTGCATTGGTAATTTGGTACGCTGCTCGTTTGCTTATATGGTTTATGTTTTTCGTTGCAACAGAGGCTAGCTCGATTGGAACGTAACAAGAGTAGGTCTCTTTTCTCATGAAACTCTTCAGGATTTCTGCTCGTATCGTAGGGCGCAAAAGTTAGTTTTGTGCTCAGGGGTGGTATTAGATTTATAGAGTGCTATACTTGATACCGTGACAAATGTAGAGCAGGCTCAATTCAAATTCACACGTATTTGTTCAGTCAATCCATGTTTTCATTGAGTAGCTTACTTGTGTAATATTCTCGGCTGTACGAAATCATGTTCAAGCAATAATCGTCTTGTATGGTTAAAATTTTAGGAAGATCAATGAAAAAGGCTTGAAAACTTTGAGTTTTAACGATAAAGATAAAATAAAGGGTAAAAGTACCAGGTTTGAATTTTTAGTGTAAAAATATGGTTTTTCGTTAAAGTGAACTGACACACCCCGACCGAGGTCAGGGTGTGCTGGCCGCCACGCAGAGGTGACGTAACCATGTGCACGTGCGGAAGCTAATAAAAAGTAATATAAAAGTACGAATAATAATAAAAAAAAAAAACTAGCATACAAAGTAGTAAAAACAAGTGCTAGCGTAAGTGAGACGCTAAGTTCAGAGCAATAAGTCGACAGCAGTCCAAATTAAAATGATGCGACAACAAGTGCACCCGAAGGTGACCCTACATTGGTGAATGTCTGTCAGAAATGCCGGGAAGCCCTCTGGGAAACCACCGAACCTGCTAAGCAACTAGAACCTGGAGGGGTGCAAAACAAAAGCGTGAGTGGGCAAAAACAAAGCTCTTTGAAAACCATTTAGTAAAATACATTCTAACCCCTCGCCGTAAAACCTGTATACTTCCCAGAAAATAAACGTATATACGTAGGTATGGGTATACCAATCATACTCAAGAATATGCCATGACGAAACCTCATAATGAATGCAAGTGCTCAGGTATAAATCATAACAACATATAATCTGGCGGCCGGAGTCACCTAACGTGACCTGTACGGCTGCATACATAAATATAGAGCTCAAATCTCAAACTCAATAACTGAACCTGCCCACGAGTCGGAACCACCTAAAGTGGTCTGTACGACAGACCTGGGTGTAACATATATATATACGCTCTAGTGCTACGATCACGTGAAGGCTGTGCGAATAATCGCGGGTCATCTACGAGTCGGAACCACCTAATGTGGTCTGTACGACAGGACTGTGCACCTAACTTGGATCCAAGCTGAGCGTGTGGTGCGGGAGGTGAACATCACGTGAAGGACTGTGCCCTACTCTGGGCGGGAGCACTAACACCGGGGTGCAGGTTATGAGCTCTCTAAGCATCTCAAACCACTACTGAATATAAACACGAATAACACTTACCTGGCACTTACCTGTGCATCCATAGCACCCAAATATGCATATGTACATGTATGCAACTAATAATGCACGTGATGATACATAAACAATAATAATATGATGCATGGTATAAAACAATTAACCCTTTTAAAACAATTTCTGGGAAAATATAAATATATAGGTATATACGGAAAACCAAAAGCCCACTCACTAGTATGTGGTAGGGTCGTAGCCCCCCTGCCTTGAGTGAACACGCTCGTCCTCGGGATATGTTTCACCTATATACGAAAATACTATAAAAACGTTAATTTTAAAGCACATAACCTTCCTTTCGTAATAACTTCTCATACATTACTCAAATTGGACAATTGAATATACTAACGTGCTCTACACAACCTCAGGATCACACCCAAATTTTTAGAAAAATTTTCCACAGCCGCACGCGCCCCCACGCGCCGGCCACGCGCAGGCACGTGCCTGGCACGCTGACAACGTCAACTGACACCGTTAGGATATTCCGTCAGTTTTGACAGATTCCGTTAACGGCGTCAGGAATATTCCGTCCAAATTGATGGAATATTCCGTCACCTTCTCCGGCGAGCCTCCGGCGCCGTCGCCGGCGCCGGAAAACTGGAAAAACTTCAACCTTCGATTTCTCTCTCGTTTTTCAACCATTTTTCGTGATTTTTGCACCAAAACGAAGCCTAAGACTAGGAGAACATAAATATACAAGTTTTAAGAGCCAAAAACTACGAGATCTTACCTGACCAAACCACCCAACTCCGGTCAACTCCAAACGCAGTGATTCCGACGTCAAAATTCTTCAAACGAAGTACTCCGAGACTCCTTGGGACCTCACCAAGTCACCTACGAGCTTCGTTTTCCCTAAAACATGATAAAATATGTTTGCATGAATAGTACCCAAATCGGACATCGTCGAATCGACGTGAAAACGACGGAGTTCTCACCTGAAAATGGTACGACTGGACTCCCACGAGCCTCACGAGCTTGAAGGTGTACTTGGTTCCCTCGATCTGTAAAGGTTTGAGGGGTTTTGGGTGTGTGCCGTACGTTTTCAATGGAAAATGAGAGGAGAGGGGACTCCGGGGGAGAGACAGGGAAAGGGACAGAGAGACAGTGAGAGTGAGAGTGTGTGTGTGTGGCCCAACACATGCCAACACCACACAAAACAACCACTAAACGTAAACGAAACGAACTAGGGGCAAAGTAGTCATTTCACACGCACGTTTTCAATATTTTCGGGACGGGAAGTCACAACCTACCCACCTTAATAGAATTTCGTCCCGAAATTCAAAGCAACCAAATAACAACCCCTAGCGGTCAAAGAATAATCGAGGATACAAATCCCTCATCTGATCTTCTGTTTCCCATGTAGCTTCTTCGACTGAATGATTCCTCCACAAAACTTTCACCAAGTTCACCGTCTTGTTCCTCAGAACGTTCTCTTTCCAATCAATGATCGTCATCGGTTCCTCGTCATAAGTCAAATCTGGATTAATCTCCAAGGGTTGCGGAGGTATCACATGAAACGGATCAGAAACATAATGTCGAAGCATAGACACGTGAAAAACGTTATGTACTCTAGCCAACTCCGGAGGCAACTCTAACCTGTAAGCTACCTCACCAACTCGCTCTATGACCATGTATGGTCCAATGTACCTGGGACTCAACTTACCCTTCTTTCCAAACCGCACAACTCCTCTCCACGGTGAAAGCTTCAGAAATACCCAATCTCCGACCTCATACACCCTGTCCGTAGCATGCCGATCTGCTAAGCTTTTCTGCCTGTCCTGAGCTGCCTTCAGGTTAGACTTAATTACCTGAACATTCTGAGTAGTCTCCTCAACAATCTCCGGACCCACTAAGACTCTTTCTCCAACCTCTGACCAACACAACGGTGTGCGACAAGCTCTACCATACAAGGCCTCAAATGGCGCCATGCCAATACTCGAATGAAAGCTATTATTATAGGCAAATTCCATCAAGTCCAACCGCTGGTGCCAAGCATCACCAAACTGCAACACCGAACTTCGTAACATATCCTCCAAAGTCTGAATGGTTCACTCGGACTGTCCGTCTGTCTGAGGATGATACGCCGTACTGTAAAGTAGTCTCGTACCCAAAGCTTCTTGAAAAGCCACCCAAAACTTGGATGTAAATCGTGGATCACGATCCGAGACAATACTTACAGGGACACCGTGGTACTTCACAACCTTTGAGATGAACAGCTCTACTAAACGGCCCAAAGAATACTTCTCTCTCACTGGAATAAAATGTGCTGACTTAGTGAGCCGATCGACAATCACCCAAATGCCGTCAAAACCATTATGTGTACGCGGAAGCTTGTACACAAAATCCATAGTGATATTTTCCCATTTCCACTCTGGAACGGGAAGTGGCTGCAACAACCCAAACGGCTTCTTCCTTTCTGCTTTGACCTGCTGACAAACAGCACACCTACTCACATACTCAGCTATCTCCCTCTTCATACCCGGCCAATAATAAAATGGTCGAATGGTATGATACATTTTGGTAGCACCTGGATGCATGGCATAAGCAGAGATATGTGCTTCATCAAGAATTTCTTTCTTTAAATCCACATTATTAGGCACGAACATTCTGCCCTCTTGCATCAACATGCCATCCGATTCACGAACTCTGAGGTCTCTCCTCCTTCCTTGTTCTCGAGCTTGAATTAATTCTTGAGTTTGCTCATCAGCTACTTGAGCTGTAAGCACCCGATCGACTAAAATTGGCCTGACTTGAAAATTAGCAAGTAACGCCACTTCTCGATCTTCTACTTCTAACCTTACTCCCGTAGTACGCAAGTCCGCCAAAAGAGGAATACGACTCGCATACAACGCATTAATGCGGCCCTAAGACTTCCTGCTAAGTGCATCAGCAATTACATTTGCACGACCAGAGTGATAATTAATCGTACAGTCGTAGTCGCTGAGCAACTCCATCCACCTTCGTTGACGAAGATTAAGTTCCTTCTGAGTAAAAAGATACTGGAGACTCTTGTGATCTGTAAAGATCCTACATTTCTCCCCATAAAGGTAGTGTCTCCACAACTTCAACGCAAAGATGATAACAGCCAACTCCAAATCATGTGTAGGGTAATTCAACTCATGAGGTTTCAACTGACGTGAAGCATAAGCGATCACCCTACCTTGCTGCATTAACACGCATCCCAGACCATTCAAGGAAGCATCATTATAAACCTCGAAATCACCATTATCGTCCGAGAGTGCCAAAACAGGTGCATGAGTGAGACAATGCTTCAACTGCTGGAAACTCTGCTCACACTTATCATCCCACTCGAATTTAACATCCTTCCTCGTCAATCTCGTCAGTGGTAAAGCAATCACGGAGAAATCTTTAACAAATCTCCGATAATACTCCGCCAAACCAAGGAAACTTCTCACCTCGGTGACGGTTCGCGGTTGCTCCCAATTCTCCACAGCTGCGACCTTCTGAGGGTCCACCAAAATACCCTGAGCAGAAATGATGTGCCCCAAAAACGCAACTTGGTCTAACCAGAACTGGCACTTGCTAAACTTAGCATACAATTGGTGTTCCCTCAACCTCTTCAACACCAAAGTAAGATGTCGAACATGCTCCGCCTTAGACTTCGAGTACACCAGAATATCGTCGATGAAAACAATAACAAACCTATCCAAATATGGCTGGAATACTCGGTTCATTAAATTCATGAAAGCAGCTGGTGCATTCGTTAACCCAAATGGCATAACCAGAAACTCGTAATGACCATAACGAGTTCTGAATGCCGTCTTAGGAACGTCATCTCTACCAATCTTCAGCTGATAATATCCAGACCTGAAGTCAATCTTGGAGAATACACAAGCACCTC